CAAAACAAATGAGGTAGTTACAAAAGATATAATTGTGCAGAATTTGTAGACAAAAACAAAACAAACATAACCAAAGCATTGAAAGAAATAAAGTAACTTCCTCAAGGTTAAATAGTTGGTGAGTGTCAAAGCCAGACTTCAAACTTTAGTCTGAGTTTTTTTTTTTTTTTGGTACCTGGGATAGAACTCTGGTCCTTGAGTTTGCGCAGCAGGCTGAGAAACCACTGAGCTAAATCCCCCGCCCAAAAGAGTCATATTACTTTTTTTTTTTGGTATTGGGGATCAAACTCAGGTCCTTGCGCTTGGGGAGCAGGTGGCAAAACCACTGAGCTAAATCCCAGGCCCAAGTCTGAGTTTTAATAATCCTTAAACCATGATTATCAAACTATTTTGTATCCTCTGAAAGATTATTAAAACACAGATTGCTGGGATCTATGCTGACATTTTCGGTGAAGCAACGCTGACCCTGTAAATGTACATATAATTATGTGAGTTTAGTGACAAACTGTTTTGCATATAAATTTACTTTTATTTCATATCATTTAATATTTTCTGAATTTTTGAGAATTAAACTGGCAGATACAAGACTCAGGTTTATTTCACTAAGTGACAATATGACATTCAGCAAGTGATGATTCAGCTGTCTAGATCTTTACTTTCCAATATTAAAATTTCTTCATTAGCACAAGAAGTTTTCAAGATCCCTTTGTACTTATTTATTGCATAAAGGTTGCCTTAAACTTCCTTCACAATTTTGTGCTACTTTGCTTACAACTGAAAGAATTTCCTTGACTGGTTTTACAATATTGATGATTCAGTAAAATTTTTAATGTTTTAACAGGAGACCTAGGAAGGCAATGTTACTCTTCAGTTATCTGTAAACCTAAAAAGGTTTATAAAACCTAGTACTAAAGTGCGGCCCCTACCCTGACCTTTGTAGTTTGCTCCCACATTAAACATCATTTTCACCTTTAAGCTTTCACAGGCAACTGCTTTTGCATTTTTTCCAAATCAGCTTTTAACATTTAAGATTTAACATTCGAAGACATTTTCTGAATGCTTTTAAACCTGAATCTAGGGAGATAAAAGGCAATGGTTTGGATTTGCCCCTTTTGAATACTTATAATGTGATAGGAAAGGTGGACTTGTATCTATCTGTGACTAATTGGATAAGGATGAAAGTGACTCACATCAAGTGGTCCCATTCCCCATTGTCCCCAGGGCCTGACATCTAATTGGCTCAGTGGGGGGCTGGAACCTAATTGCTTGCAACAGCCAGGAAAGCCAGAGAAAAGCCCACACAAAAGGTGATACTTAAATTGAGCAAGAAGGCGCCTGAAAATAAAGCTACCAAATAATTGTTGGCCTTCAGAAAGGCAAGGTGGAGCCATTCACAAGCCCAGCCTTCCTCTTCAGCAACCTCTCTCATACTGGGCAAGCTGCTTCCTCTTCCTGGGCCTCCTGCTTGCTCTTAATCTGTAAAGTACAAGGGTTTGAGCAGTACAATCTCTGAGACTTTTTTCCCCCCTCTTGCGTAACTAAGTCCCTTAAAGTTAATGGGGAGTGGTGAAGACCCGCACATTTGCACTTCAGCTGAGTTCTCCTGTTGGCAAAAAGGCAAACCTTAAAGGAAACCAAAACCAAACCGATACACACACACACACACACACATACACACACACACACACACAAAGTAGTGACAGTTGAAAAACGGAAGAGAAGCGAGGGCTTGAGATTAGCAAATAAAGTTTTCACAGGGGAGGAAAACATTAATGAGGCAACTGGAATTTAGGGGAAAAGAAAAGCAAGTAAAAGAGAACTCTACTCCGTAGCTCTCCCCTTTTCAGCCCTTTTCTCACCTTTGGTCTCCACCACCTGACCAGATCCTGTTTTAGTTAACCTGGCAGTGCAAGGATTTGAAAGTCCCTTAGCAACAGAGTCCCTCCCACCTCTCAGGGTAGGGGTCCCCGTGCAGCAGCTAAGTAGCCGCCTGCTCCGGACCACACCTGAGGGCGGGACTGCCCGGAGTCCCCCTCCCCCCGCCGCGGCCCCGCCCCCCGGCCCCGTTTCCGGGCTTCGGGCTATTTCAGGGCTGCAGCCACCGGGTCTCCTGACTCCCCGCCCGCCTCGTTCGGGCTTCTTCCTGCGCGCCGTCCGGCGTCTCTCCCGACCCTGCAACATGGGTCTTCGGCCGCACTCGCTGCTCGCCGCCCTCCTGCTGCTCCTGCTAGGACTCCGCGGCGTGCGCTGCGATACGCCGGCCAACTGCACCTACCCGGACCTGCTGGGCACCTGGGTCTTCCAGGTGGGCCCCGGCGGCTCCGGGCGCGACGTCAACTGCTCGGCCATGGGTAAGCCTCCCGCCCTGCCCCCGGTCCTGCCCCAGACCCCAGTCCTCTCCCCGGCAGACACGTGCGGTTGGCCGGGAGAGCTTGGCCGCAGTCCAGGCAGCGTAAACTTGCTCTGCTGACAACTTCGAACTTCACAACTTGGTATCTCCGGGCCTCAACTCTTTCTCAAGAACTTTTTATCCCCCTCGTTTTTTGGGTTGCTTTAGTTTAGGAGAAAGTTGAGAACTGCAATCTTGATTCCCTGGTCCAATCTGGAAGGTTTTTCTAAGTTCTTTGGACGTGCAATGATGTTTGCTACTAGTTCTACAAAATTTCTGCTACCCCTCTGCTTCGTTTCGTGTATTGTAGGGGGTATACAAACTTTTTTTTCTTTTTAAAGTTTTATCCAGTAATTACACTTTCAAGTGCCCTGAGACAAGCGCAAGCCTGGCTCTGGGAAGGCTGTCAAGTATCTAGTGAGCAAACACAGGCAGCCCTCAGGAGCTTGGCTGACCCTGGGACCACGAGGCCAGTGAAGAGGTTGAGCAAAGCTGGAGTCAGAAGACTGGGTCTGCCCAAAGCCTTGCCCTCTACAAGCTGCACAGAGTGAATGAAGCTCTGAGCTGTAATTGTTCTCATCAACAGGGCAGTTGTCAAGTAATCTGGCTTATCAAAAAACTTTTAACTCCAGATAACTGCGGCTTTTCTTACTCTTGGACTTTGTATACTTATATTGTATACTTATTGTTGCTTATAAATTGAGCAGAGATGAGTGGAAGGGAAATCAGGATTTGCAGTGCCCAGTCACATGCAGTCTCCTTTCAGAATATTAATCTAAAACAAGGAAGGACTATCTAAAGGGCAGACATCTCTAGAGGGACACATCTGAAACCCTTGCTGGCAGCCTCGGCCTGTGAACCACTTTTGACCTTAATACAGTAATCAAAGACACCCACAGATCTGAGCCCTCATCTTCTGAAAGTTAGACATACAATTCTTGTCAGCACACATTAGCTTTATGGGATAGAAACTAAGTTTGATGAGTGTGAAGGTTCATATTCTGAGGTTCTCATGTTAGAGCTGTTGAAAAAAAAAAAAGGATACTTCATTTCTTATCAGAATTGATCATTTCCTGTCTTCTGGGCTTCACACTTTGTCTGCATGAGTTCATAGATGGCTGATCTTTTTACCTACTTCCATAGCTTTTATTTTTTACTTTTTGACCATAACTTTTTTTCTCCCATTTCTCCCTGTAATTTTGAGCATCATACATTCCTTATTTCTTGAGTGGAATTTTTTCCCCCAGACTGCTTGCCATTTCTCAGGACTGTACAGAGGTAATAAGATGGAGACTGATTTCTTCATAAGCCAGACTGAGGGCCCAAACTGGATTAGCATGAAGGAAAAGCTGCTAAATCAAATGCTAGAAATTATGGAAGAGATCACTATCACCACTGAAGTTCAAATAACTTTCCTTTGTTATATATACATTTTCTCTTCTTTAGAACCACCAGAAAAAAAAGTAGCGGTGCACCTTAAGAAGATGGATACAGCCTATGATGACTTTGGCAATACTGGATATTTCACCATTATTTATAACCAAGGCTTCGAGATTGTGCTGAATGACTACAAGTGGTTTGCCTTCTTTAAGGTTGGTTTAAGTTTCTATTGATTTTATCTGATGTCTGAAATCTCTTCTGATCAGAAGCCTTTAGAATTTTAATCTTAGATCAAGAATGTTACCAGACTTGATACCACTTTTTCCAAGAAAAGTTAGTGTAATTTTTTCTCTTTATTTAAAATTACAATCTCAGAAGGTTTAAAAAAGAAGCCTGTTCTTTGTTTGAATATGTCCAATCCATTATATTTACATTTACATTTTGTAAGTATGACAGAATTCTTAACTTTATTTCTACACATTTATTTCTAAATGTTACCTTACTCACTTGGCCTTCTACTGAATCTGTAGGAAACATAAGGAGGTTGTAAATTTTGTATTCTTAGGCTATATGCTACTTTTCTTATTGCTTGTTGGCACTGAGAAATTGACCCAAATGACTCACTGAAAGTAGTACAGAGTACTAGATAGGTTAATATGAGTAGTTTATAGGACTAAATAGCATAGAAGTACAAAGCAGGAGTTACTCTGTTTGTTGGGCTGATTGAAGTGAAAGCTAGCCCAGGTGGTCCAGCTTGTGTTTTGTCTTCTTTCACTAGGAGAGACTGTTGTCCATTCTTATATTCAAGCATACCGCTTCAAGTTGCAGACACACTCTGGCCTAAAAGAGTTCAGCACAAGAGTGCAGTCTTTCCCATATGTTCTGAAAGAATTGGAACTTTTCCTGTAAGCTAAGTATTAAATGGTTCAAGTACATTGAATTTGCAAGTCTGAAACTAGCTGTTTCTCATTATATACACAGAGTATAAATAAAAACATATTTTTATGGGGCAGAGTTTACAGACTTTGGAGCATCTGGTAAGAGTTGGCTATTTATAATAAGTACTTGTGGGAAAGTGGAGAATGAATCTGTTAAGGATGACAAAAGACAAAGCAGCAATAGACAGCTAATGTCTTGGTCTGGTGGTGCACACTGAGGCAGGAGGATCACAAGTTCAAGACCAGCCAGGGCGAGGCAGTGAGACCCTGTTTCAGGATAAAAAGGGCTGGACATGAAGTGTATTGCTCCCTGGGTTTACTCTCTAGTACCATGGAAAAAAAAGATTGGATTTTTGTGATGCACCGTGATTCTGTGCATAATTTATGGTCTTTGTCACCATTGTGTCCTCTTTGTCTTCCTCTGTCCCTTCTTTTGGCCACCCAATAGGTATTTGGTTAATATTTGTTAAAAATAAAATAGGTGATGTAGAAAGCAATTCAGAAATAAATTGAATAAATTACGAAGTGGGAGGAGGGTAGTAGCACGTAAATAGATGAGTGATTTATCCACATGCATTAGAAGACTTCTCATTCTAAAGTACTGGAGAATTGGAGAAACTGGTGCAGAAACTACTAAAATCATTTAATTACCAGAGATAATAATTAGAAGTAGACAAGGGCAGTTTCCCTCAATATTTTTTCATCGGGTACACAAGGAACATCTGATGGCTGAATGAAGAGTTGGAGCTCGGTCTTTGCCTTTCTTTTTAGATCAGTGTAGGAAGATTTGGTACAGTATTCTGTAATATCCTTGGAACGGAAGTCACATTAGGTCAAAAGGAAGCCAGTTTTTAAAGCCAAATGAAGGTAAGTGTCCTCACCCATAAGGGGGAAGGAGAGAATGTGTATGCAAATGCAGTCAGCAATTTGGCAGGTACATTGGAACCTTGTCTAAACATGTGCTTCTGGATGGCATTGGACTGTTTCCTTCACCTGGAATAACATAGGAAGAGCATTCCTCCCCAACTGATTTGTTATGTATTTTACAAAGTTACCATTTGACAGAACCACCATTATCAGGGCCATGTGTTTTTGTTTTTGTTTTTTGTTTGTTTGTTTTTCTTGTAGAAAAAAAATCAATCATTGTGGTCAGTAGTTAGGCCTTGTAATAAGAATTATAATTTTGATAATCAGAGTAGAATAGACATAAATAATTGGGTTTTTTTACGTATCTCAACATAATTGTAGATAAACATTTTTCAAAGTAATAAATATATGATTTTATCAAATACAATTACTGCAAGAATGATGAGAATGAAGATTTAGAAATTTAAGAAAATTATAAGGTCACGTTGACTTAGGAAAGTCAAGCATTTTTTGTGACATTTGTTAACAGAAAACTTGTATTTCCTATAGTGTGCTGGGAAACCATAGTGGGAGGGATGTGTACCTCAAAAAAACTAAGTCTTTTTTAGTTAGTAAAGCACAGGTGAATTTTTCCTCCAGACTTAGAGAATGTCTTTATTTTTTTAAATAAGGAATTATGAAAAGTTAAGTTATATTTGCTATGTCAATTTCAGTGTCTTATGCAAACTGGATCTGTTCAACCCAAGCCATTACAAAAATATCTGAATGCTTTGGGGTGTATATCTGGTATCATTACTCTGTATATTGTTACTCCACAAATGAATGGTGTTTCCAGATCTCTCTACTGACTCATACCAGATCATACCACTGGCTTCCCTCTGCCTTCTTCAGTTATGTGTTGCTTTTGTTGTGCCTGCCAGAGTCTGTGGGATAGGTGCTTCTTAGCAGGGTCTTCTATTAGAACTTCTGCTGTACTTTCTCTTCCCCTTAAGTATCCTGCAGTCCAGCAAGCAAGTATTGCTCCTTCACCATTCTCTTCACTTCAGCTTTGTATCCATTGTGATACCTTTCCAATTCCTAGGGACTTGATTTACTCAATTCTCCCTATTTAGGCCTCAGCTAAAAGATGAGCATTTTTCCTGATTTGAGATTCCTAAACTTTTTCTATTTGTTTTTAACTGCTTGAAAAATAAGGGGTGGAATGGAGATAATCTATCATTTTTTACATGTGATTTCAAGCAAGATAAAACTTAGAAGGAAATAAATCTTGACATTGAATGTTTTTGCATAGAGTTGGGCAGGAAGCAAAAGATTCTTTTTTTATTCATCTTTTCCAGGCATTTGTTATCTGATCACTTTAGAGAGATTATACACTCAGATGCAGTTAGGGCCCATCTAGGCTCCTAAGCCTTTGGAACAACTTTATGTAAAACAAAGAGGGTAATTAGTTCCATGGCCAAATGGAAAGTTCTCAGAGGCTTTCTTTTGAAAGATTGTGTGGCCAAAATAAATGATGATATTATCTGCAGGCCAGTTTCTAAGACAACCAGATTTTAATAGTATTTACCATTTAGTTATACTTAGCACCCTGGCAAATCTACACCTCTTTAAAGTGTCTTGCATATTAAAAGCAACCAGTCTCCCATATAAAAGCACAATGCAACAAAACCGAGATTAAAAATAATGATGTCTGACTTTGTGTGGTAAGTGGCTGATTCTTTTTCCTTTCTTTTATGGTTTTATGTAGTTGATTCATTATTGTTTTTAATGATAAACGTGGGTAAAGCTGGTCTGTACAGCATCCTAAATTCCCTACCAAATTGCCCAGAGGCAGGAAGTCATGTGACACAAACTAAGCTCTAAAGAATGCCCTCTGGTTGAATAGGACTTTTAACCTTTACTGTTTTCTCATTTCACTTTTTCTGAGGTGGTGAAAGAAATTGAGTGGACTACAAAGCTGTAGAGAAGGAACTGACTTTTATTTTGAAGATTAAGATACTGAAAGGCTGGAAAAAATACACAGAAAGGAAATGAGACTTGTTATGGCTAAAAATTTATTAGATGATAGTGAGATTCATCTAAACAATTTCTAATTGGGCTCTCCTTTCATGCCCTTCAATATTAATAGAATTATAAACTAAAGAACAATACTGTTATGGGTGTTTCTAAAGCAGGTTGCTACTTAAAATCAACATTTTGAGAATCACTTATCAGAGTACTTAATTGCCCATTTTATGTGCCAGTAGTTGGTCAATTTTAAGCTTGTAACAACAACCAGTAATGTCAATCCTGTTTCCAAAATGAAAGATTTAGCAATCATACCCCTATTTTTCACTGTGCCTTCTATAATCCCTTTTAAGATATGACAACTACAGAATTATTTTTGAGGTAGGTATACAAGATTCAATATATCAAGCTCAGAATTTTAGCCTTTTTATTAGTGTTTCAGTTGAGGGAAAGTATCAGAAGATTACCATTTAATGCATGCCAATTTTGTTTTCTTGATAATGTATAATTTCACCATAACTCAGTTTACCAATATAAATTCTTCATAGGATGTCACTGATTTTGTCAGTCAGTTGTTCATGCAGCTGGGATCTGTGGGGATGTATGATTTACCACATCTGAGGAACAAACTGGGTGAGCTCCAATGAAATATTTTTAACTTATTATTAAAAGCCAGCTTCTCCCTTTCCCTTTTGGCTTATGCAGATCAATGTCTATTTATTCATCTGAAAAAAAGGTGACCACAGAGGTTATTCTTACAGACTTCTTGCTTAAGCCTGCTTTTCTGCTATTTCTGATATGCCTGCATTATCGTGTTTTCCATTTTTGTGCTGTGTTTGCACACATCTGGTCCAAAGAGTAATACTTGTAATCTCAGTAGACATGAACTCAAAAAGGTAAAGTCCCTATTAAGAAAAGGCTGGCTCAAGTTCAGCACACATTCTTCAAGTAACTAGGCTGCCTCAGGTTGTCTGTTCTTTTCAGAAACACTAAAGGAAGAACCATGTGAGACCATGGAGCTTTGGGAGTCTCTTTCAGTAGAAATGAGGCTGTTTCTGAGAAGTCACTCTTCCCCTTAGAAACATCACTCATCTTTTTAAAAGTGGCTTCTTTTAAGAACTTAGAATATTCACTGAAAAGGAAAGACAAGGATCTTTTTTTTTTTTTAATTTTTTTTTGGAACTTTTTCACTCTTTACATGTTCTTCGCATTTTCAAGATAGGTATTTAAATCACAGCTCATGCTGGTCACATAAATATAGATGTCTAAGATTTTGATTGAAAAAAATGGATGGTACAGAAAAAGCTGATAGGGATTTACCCTTCCTCATGTGTTAAAATCATTTTCTTTCCCCCTTTCCTTTCTTCTTTTTCTTGTATCTAAGTACGAAAACTGAGAATGAAAAGGGAGCTGGGAACCAGTGTTGAAAGCACTATATCCTTACCTAACGTCAGGATTTTATAAACTTTATAAGAAACTAGTAATGTCCTACACTTTTGTCAAGTAGAAATTTTTCATCAATTGTGGTACGTTCTCTTGTTAAGCTTTAAAGATTATTCCAGGCTGCCACTAATAACAGATCAAAGTGAGCACAAGGCTGAAACTAACAAGATGTTTTTTCTTAATTCTATTAGTTTGGAATGTGTTTATTTTCTTTATTTCAGGATTTTTAATATATTGCATGGTGGTAATTTAAGAGAAAGATAAAATAGGAAACTTTGCCAAAACAGATTGATTTTTTTTTTTTTACAAAATACAAGTTGCCCTCAGAATTATGAAATTCTGTCCCTTTTGCTTACTTAAGGAGACTTACCCCCAACAGCTGAAAAGATAAGCTCTGGTATTATTCTGTAAATGGTTAACATGTAATTGGCTATATCCAACCAACAGCAGTAAGCCTACCTTTAGAATTTGTTAAGTGATACATGGTGGTACCTATTTAAGTTGCTCAAACTTAGACTGCTTCTTAACTGCAGTTCCAAATCTTATTAGGTTTTCAGAGTAGCAGTTCTTTTTAGATGCATGTGCTTCTTAAGCATGTTGGCTGCATGGATAATACCTGTTGCTTAGGCATTGAGCTGGAGAATGGCAGCTTTTTGTGACTGTCTTAAATAGCATTAAAAAAATACCAGAGTCTCAAATATCAGTGCTGGTATTTTTTTTTTTACTTAACAGAAATTAACATGATAAAGTATTATTAAGAAAGAGTGTGATCTTGTTGGCTTGTAATTCTAGTTTTTGTTGTCTTGTAGTTATTAAGTAGAGCATCTGTTGAGGGGCTTTTTTAAAACCACAGCCAAGAACAGACTTTGGGCCTAAAAAGCAGAGCAGCATACAGCAGTGGACCTACCTCTAGCAGCTAGCAAGGACTGTGCAGCTGCACCCACTTTGGAGCCTTTATTTGGAGTCTTTATTTAAAATACAGAGGAGTCCTGGTGACCTACCTCCAAGGCAGCTGCCTCCTGAACATTTCCTTGGAAAGCACTAACCACCATTATGGAGTGTGAACAACCAGAAACTGCACAGGAAAAAGGAGAAAATCTATCTGGAAGAAATGAAGTCTTAGGTGGCTTTACCGTTCAGCTTTTTAATAAAAAGAATAACATACAAGATGTTAAGTGTTGTTTTGTTGTTGAATTGTTTGAATATTCTTCTATTGAAATGACTTTTTCCAGACTGCTCAAGATTTGAAATTTGTGTTCCCTTTGATTATTCACAGTACAGATTTTATAGTTAAGTTGCTTCTCTCTGAGTGCTTTTTCTACTTACTTTGAGGAACCAATTCAAGAACCTAATGTAAGAAGAAAATAAGGTTTTGGGAATTTCTTGAGATGGACACCTGTAAGTTACTGGAGGGAAGATGATCATGTGGTACATGTTCACAGAAACTAAACAGAGGCTGTCTCAGATAAGGGAGGCATCTAAAGATCTTCCTTCAGACCTATACACCTATAGCCCGTAGCCTCTGGCTAGAAAAATGGTATGGTTAATACCTTACACCCCTGTCCCCACCCTGCTCTGGCCCTGCTTTTTGCAATAGGTGGCAACCTTGTGCTAAAAACATAACTATAAATTTAAAAAACTATAAATTTTAAAAACTATAATTTAAAAGCCTGTAAAGTGGATACTAGTAATTCCATTGTACAGATAAAGAAAATTAGTCTTACAATGCCTAATCTCATATAACTTCTAACTTGTTAGAGTTAGTCTTTCAAGCACAAGAACTTCCCTGGAATAAAAAGTAAAAAAAAAAAAAAAAAAGCCATTTTGCAAAAGAATCATATAATTGTGGGGCTGGGGATTTAGCTCAGTGGCACCCTGCCTGCCTCGCAAGCGCAAGGTCCTAAGTTTGATCCCCTGTACCGGAAAAAAATTATGTAAATGATACTTAGACATATTTAGGTAGATTTTCTGGTGAATTCCAATATATAAGCATCATGAATGTTTTATTAATGGAGTTACTGCATTGGTTCCTATTAAGGTGTTAGAGGAATTGCTTTCGAAGTTTAGACTTCTTTGCCAATTAGGCTACTCAGATTCTTGACTAAAATTCATTCAGGATGAAAACTTACTTTCTTTTTGCCTTTATAGAGTCAAAATTGGAAAGAACACTTTTAAACATCAAACTACATACACATTAAATCTCTTGCCAAATAGGCTTCTCTTAATTATACCATTGTTCATACTGATTGCTATCATTTTTAGCTCTTTCCTCCTCAACAATAGACTCATTTCCTCTTAACTTGATTTAGAGCTTATTTGGTAGACCTAAAATGTGGGGTACACCTCACATATCTGGGAGGACTTTTCTCCTCTGTCTTCACTTGAATAGAGAAATTTTTCTCTAGATAGTAGTTTGTCAGCAAGGATGACAATTGTCTACCATGTGGGAGGACCTGGTCTGCTATTTTAGGTATCTCCTAAATACCTACAAAATACTTTTTTCCATCTTACCTCTGGACTTGATAAATTCTTCACTCAGGACCTTGAGTATGAAGGTCCATTAGTGGAGGAAACTCCATTACTTTGGTTCTCACAGCACTTTTCAGGTACCTTTGGTTTCATGCTTATTATACTGGAATGATTTGATAGCATGTCTTCATCTTCTTACAGGTTTAAAGTTTGTATTTCTCCCTCTATGTCTTCAGCATTTAATGCACACAGAACTTCCTAGGTTCTTGGAAGAAAAATGACATTTTATACATTTCACAAATAATGCCAGAAAATTTACAAAGAATTTTACTGTGTCCTAGAAACACAAATCAGAATGGTGCTATGTTTATTTTAGCTATCTGCTCTAAAACATTATCAGGTTACCTGCCTTCAGAGCTCTAAAAGTATTGTATATTTTTTTCTTTTTTAAACATTTTTATTAGTATATGTTTGCATTACATAATTATTACATTCATCATAAAGAGTTGGTACATTTCAAGCTGATTTTCAAGATGTAAATACTGTCAAGGCAACTGATATACATATGTTTACATAGATTATATATCACTTATATTCATTTATATGGGAATGCATCTAATATGGAGTTTTAAAAAATTACCAAAGATTTTTGTTTCTCAAGTAATGTTGTATCTATTTCAATTCTGGAAACCATTGGAATTGCAAATCTATGTTAGAAGGCCCCACAATATGATAGGGCTTTGCATTTTCTGTTATAACGGCTTGTTCTCTTCCCCTCTGGTCTTTAAACTCCATTAGGGCAAGAGCTAACCCTGTATCAATAACCATTTTTATTCCCTACATGTAATGCAATATGTGACAAATAACTGGAAAACAATAGCCTTTTAATAAATATTTGTAAAAGATAACTGAACAGTACATAATTGTGGTGATGTTTTTTATTGATGTATTTCCAGTAGTGTTATCTCTGTGTCCTTAGAGGTTATGATGGATCCTCAGGGGGTATTTGTTGAATGACTCAGTGGAAAAGAGATTAAACTTTTAAAATTTATTCTTTTTACTATAGAGGCTAAGATAGGGTTCTAAGTTTAAAAAAAACTAAAGTTCTAATTTTGAGAACTAGTAAATCTTATGTAGCTGTCAAGGGAAACAAATAGTTTTGTACTGATTCCCTGAAGCCTGAATAACAACTGATTTTATCTGTTCTGGAATGCTCCAGATTATATCCCACCTCTGTTAAATGTAGTGAGGAGCAGGAGCTAATGGATGGATTAAATTCTTAAATTTCTTCCAACATTGCAGTTACAAGTTTAGGGCAAATAAATGAGTAAGCCCGAGGACTTTGACTATTTTGCTGAGTGTCAAATAGCTATTTTCTTAGCTAATTCTAGAATGTATATTTTGGTTAAAATTAAGTGTCCAGCACTGGGAATAATCAGACTCAAGATCTGCCATTCTCACATGTAAATCTAACTGCCAATTTTTTCTGTAAAATGCTATATATTCTTTGGTTGTAACCACTGTAGTAATTTCCTGGCAGTTTTGCAACTCATTAAAATTCATCTTTTTAAATAAACAGTTCAGCCTTTTTAGTAAGCAGAAAACTAAAGCTAATTCTTGGAATGGTTTTAAGGGATTTGGCTTCTTTCTGAGGAAAGACAAGGTACTCTTGGGAGGGGTTTAGCAAAGTACCAGTTTGGTAAGATTTGCCTTGTTCTCTCTAGTTATATCCTCTAAGGGCTTTTACTCAAACTGTAGTCTTGCCAAAAAGTAGAAGTGGATATGTAGATGTCTAAAGTAAACAAAGGGCAAAAAATTAAGTAAAAGATTATTTTCAGTATTAATCAGATTGACTATCTCCATGTTTTATGATTAAATCATTAATTTTATGTTAAGTACTGTTTTCTGAAGTGGTAAATCATCTTCATGATTGGACTTAAATGAAAAACTTTCATGTATTCCACAGTATGTGTAGAATATATGTCAGTATACTAATGTTTTGGTTATAATACATATGAAAAACTAAGTGATTAAATAATATATATCAGTGTCAAACAATTGTTATACATTTCATAGAGATATCATTTGAAAAGTAATGCAAAATATATCATGATTTTACTGGAAAAAAAGCAATGTTGGAATCTCTATTACCAGTAGTTTCCACGACTGAAGTATTTTCTAATGTGTTTTAAAATCTTCTAAATAAAAGAATTTCAGTAGGTTTTGACATAACTTTGTTAAAAGTATGGAAGTTTCACAGCTTTAGAAAACTTTAAAAGAATTACTGATTGGTACTAGGAATGATAATTTAGTAGATTTTAACTACAACATTTGCTTTATGGATGAATATGATTAAAAAGTGACCAGCACAGTGATATAGCTGTTCAAACTATATGCTTTCAGAAAAGAAATTTAAAAACCAACCATCTGTTTTCAAAGACTCATCATTTAATATGGTTAAAGAACTCAGAATACAGTAACTGTACACTTTTCCATTTTCATATGTATGCATCAATATTTATAGATCTTGGCTTCTTTTCTTTCTTTTTAAAAAACTTTTTCCCGACTCAGGACCTTGTGCTCGCAAGACAGGCGTGGTGCCACTGAGCTAAATCCCCAGCCCTGATCTTGCTTTCTTTATGTCTTAGGTTACATCTTTATTTTATCAGAAGTAGATTGACTAAATCAGCTAAGATGCTTTGGTCTTTTAAAGTGGGCACATGTAGAAGGGAATGTGCTGTGTCCTAACCATTTCACAGGTACTTACCTAGCACACTACGTTTCAAGTGAACACCTGACCATGGAACTGCTGAGGATATCAGCATTGCTTTTAATATTACATAATAGTGGAAACTGGTATCAACATTATTTGTATATTACAAACATAAACAAAAATTATATTACTTTTCAATATTCAAACGTCATCTTTTTTTTTTTTTTTGGTACTGGAGATCAAACTAGGGTCCTTGTGCTTGCGCAGCAGGCAGCAAAACCACTGAGCTAAATCCCTGGCCCTCAAACGTCATCTTTTCATCTCATTTTGGAAACCACAGTGCGACAGGTAGAACCCAGTGTCAGCGGCTGAGTTATTTTAGAGTAGAATATACATTATTTGAAGGCATGTATAAAGTCTTAGCTTTATATTCACCATGGCAACAGTGTTTATATTGTTACTTGTTCAGTGTTTTATAACATTTCAAACTTTTCAAACTTCAAAATCATCTTTCTTGTTTATAGTAGTCCAGTAGTATCAGACATGGACATCATTCTTATATCAGAAGTAGAAATTGAGGCTTACAACAGACTACAGAAATAAGTGGCAGAACTGGATCCTTTTCCCTAAACTGTGCTTGTCTCTTAGCCAGTGTGCATGTAAAATAAGCATTTCAATATTTTCTAATTATATTATTAGGCAGAGAAACAGCAGAACAAAACCTAAGTGATTTTCTTTTCTTTTTCGATCAGGCTCCTTAGTGTCAAAAAACCATAGGCTTGGCCGGGGATTTAGCTCAGTGGTTCCGGTGCCTGCCTCACAAGCACAAGGTCCAGAGTTCGATGCCCGGTACCAAAAACAAAAACAAACAAAAAAATAGGCTAAGTAAGAGTTCTAGAATGAATAACTTAACTTCTAAAGTTTCCCAAGATATTGTTTTTCAATTGGTTAATATTTCTAGGTAGTTCTAATTGGATTGTTGAAAGAGTGGGTGGGAAATTTAAGAAAGGGGCTTTTGGGAGTGTTTGGCAACTTCATGGTAATTTTGAAGAAGTACATGAATAGTTGCTGAATCATGGTAGTTTTCTGACTTTTAAGTGCTAGGATTTGAAGTTCTTCAAAATTTAGGCAATTTTCTTTCTGTAGAAATTGGCATAAATGAATGGAAACTTAAATCACCTCATCTTTTCAAAGCAGTCTTCAGAAATCAGTATTTATATAAATGAAAATTCTTTTGGGAAAAGAATGGCTGCATTTACAGTTGGATAATGTAACCAAAAGCTTCATCTTCTTAATTGATACTAATGTCAAAAATCACTTAAGATTTTACAATAGTAAGAAAATGACAGCTATCTCAAGAATATTCAAGAAAATAATAGAGGTACAGTGGGTCAGTATTAGGTACATGGCTTCTGAACTAGGAAATGCCTTTTTTTCTGCTAAGTTTGTTGCGCTGCACAGCCCTGTTCTGTTTTTGTAACCTTGCTTTGCTTTTTATAAGGTAATTTCAGGTTCTTAAAAAGACCAAATTATTTTTGATTGTGAAAACTACAGTTTAAAATAAAACTTTAAAAAGAAATTGCCATCAAAATTCAGAAGTGAAACATTTAAGCACATTTACACTATTTTAATTATAACAATAAAATCATAGAAGTGATTTTTAAAAAGATTAAGTATATAAAGAAGGAATGTGTCTCTATTGAGAATTATTTACCTGACTTTATTGGTTTTACATAGAACCACAGATACATAAGGATGTGCAATTGAGAAGCTCTAGGAAACTTTTGGAACTTCTAAATCAAACTAAATTTACAGTTAGAAAAACAGGTGTGCGGAGGAAAATTGACATTTCTGAATTAATTCTGAGTTAAAATTTAGAACTCTGATATCATGATATCATCACACTTGTTAATTATAAATTTACTATTTTTTTAGTTTCTTGTGTTAGTATTGAAATGGGAATTTGTGTTTGTTCTTTGTCTTCTATAATTCAGTTTTGCTTATTCACTTATTCAGTAATTTTTTCTGCTCAGTGTGGTGGCAAATGCCTGAGTTCTTAGCTATACAGGAGCTTAAAGCAGGAGTATTGTCAGTTCAAAGCCAATTAGGGCAAATTGGTGTGATACTGTCTCAAAATAAAAAAGGTGGAAGATTCATCTTAGTGTTCAGATGCCCTGGGTTCAATCCCCAGTACAGAAAAAGTAAATTAATTGCACAATTGCTTCCTAATGCTAGACTTTTTCTTAACTAAGAATAAACAAAAAGTTCTGTTCTCATCATGCTTATGACTTTTTGGAAAGAAGAGTAGGCTGTTGTGAAAATTAAATGAGTTCAAATGCATAAAATATAAACTGTAAGATAGAGACTATTATTATCAACTCTATTTAATACATGAGGAAATTGAAAGTACAGAGGGCACAGTGTCTTGCTCAGGATCATGAAGCCAGTAAGTAGCAGAGTTGGATTCTGTCTTGGAAGTCCAAGCTTGAGACAGTGTGCTTTTACTCCTCTCCTATATTGATAAACATGGCAAGAAGGATCAGAAGACTGAAAACCAGACAGTGCAATATGGACATTGCACAATGGGAAAAGGACCATGAAGGCTCCTAGATGAAAAGTATGGGCAGCCCTTACAGGATGTGACTCATGAGTCAGTTAATATTCTGGAACATTTTTTAGAGGATGCCATAGATGAAGCAATGACCTTCATAATCTGGGAACCTTATATGAATCTTCTCTCTAACTTCCCAGAGCCACCTTTTTTTCATTAGAAAAGTAATGCTTGTTATCCCAAAATAGTTTTGTGAAGCTTAAATAATACAGGTAGAACCCCCTAAGGTTTTAACCCTTTGCTGCATAATTCCTGGGTTTCTCCTGATGTCTTAATAATTACCTCTCTAGCTTTTTTTTTTTTTTCCCTTGAGAAGACTACTTTATATGAAGAAGCAGTGCATGATATTGGGAATGATGGTTGATTATAAATCTAGTTTAGTCACTTTCTTAGGTCTCTTTTTTGTCTCTTGAAAATACATTGATATTTTATCTTCTCTTGAACCTCTGAGATTTATTAATAACCTGTAAAATGTTTACAAAGTGTGAAGTTTTTCCTACCATAACACAAAAGCAGCCATATATATTATACAAAGAAATGGGCATGCTGTTTTCCAATAAACCTGTATCTACAGAAACAGGTAG